TCCCAAGGACAAAGCTGTGCCCTGGCCCACCCAGGCTGTGTCCCCTCCCTGTCACCACCACCTCCCCTGGGCTGGGGCAGTGATGGGCTGTGCACGGGGGGCTTTCTTTGGGGGCTGCATGAGGCTGTCGGGGATGCTGCGGGTATCACCCCCAGAGGATGTGGGGCTGGGGGGTTTGGGGTGATTGTGGCTGCTCTTGGTGCACCCCTGGGGCTGGGCTGGGGGTTTGGGGTGATTGTGGCTGCTCTTGGTGCACCCCTGGGGCTGGGCTGGGGGGGTTGGACGTGCTGTAACTGTGGTTCTATTGCAGCTGTGGGCAGTGGGGAGATGGACTGAGCGACCTCCTGCTCTTCTCTGCTTTTGGATCCCTGGCAGGGCTGAGGTTTTAGGGGTTGGGTCTCCCTTGGGGACGGCCTTGGTGAGAAAGCAAGCCCTGGCTCGGTGCTGGGCCACCTTTTCATGTGCTTTCCTAGAGCTGTTCTTGTTTGTGGGCGATTTTTTATCATGGCTGGTTTCATTTGCCTAAAAGAGGGATTTGTAATCCCTTGATCTACAGGAAGAGTAAGTAAATATAATTTAATGTGAGCATCCCAGGGCAAACCTCCTCTCAGTTACCTTTGGTATTTGAAGCAGCATTTCAGCTGCATTTTCCACTGGCAGGTTTGCAGGCCCAAGGCAATGCCCCCCCCCCCCTTCAGTGGGACCCTCACCCACACTCTGGGGTGGGGCTGGAAAGGGCACATTTCCCCCTTCCCTTGGAAACACAGCCCAGGTGAGACGTGGACACGGGAGCTATTAAGAAAACAAATTGCTCAGACTTCCCCCCTGGACACGTTGGGGCGTTGCAACCCCCGGGTCTTAATTTAAATGTAAATTTTGAGGGGCAGCGATGGCGAGGCACCATCCATCACTCGCCCACGAGCTAAAATCCACCTTAATGCTGAAGCTGCTCCATCACCAGCAGCATTAGCACAGAGACCAGCCAGGGTGGAAGGAGCTGGGAGGCTGCAGGCTGAATTGGCAGCTCAGAAATGCTGGAGGTGTAGTCCAGGGGCAGCTGAATTAATGTAATTGCAGCTCGCCTGGCCCACGACAAATGGGATTAGCGTGTTTTCTTAAGAGCTAAATCCCATTTCATTTTTCAGGGAGCCCAGAGTGCTCCCAGCACAGTTCTGTGCCAGGGGAATGGTGGGCTGAGGGCAGTCTGAGCATCCCCAGGCACCCCCAGCTCCCTCCTGCCGGGGGGTTTTAGCCCAGGATGGGGCAGAGCAAAGGCAGAGCAGGAGCAGGTCGTTCAGCCCGGAGGTGGGGATCAGGCTGGGGGTATATTTTGGGGGGTTATCCCCCCTTTGCTGCCCCCTCCTCACCCCCAGTGCCTCTCCTAGCCCTGGTAGGGGGGGTGCATGGCCATCCCTGCACGGGGATGAGCCCTTCAGCCTTGTGTTCCCGGTGGGATTCGCCCCCTCCCCGCCATCCCCCCCACGCTGTGCCGCTCCCCTGCCCTCCCCTGGCACGGGCAGCGTGGGGGAGGACGGGCAGGGCCCCCCCAGGAGACATCCCAAGCCAGTGTTTCCCTCTCCCAGCCGCGACTGGGACGCCTCCAACCGCAGTGGAGCAAACCAGCCCTGCAGCCACCCCAAGCACCACCACCGACACCACCACCACCACCACCCCAACTACTACTGACACAACTACAACTACCACAGCTACAACCACCACCACCACAACCACCACCACCACCACCACCACAACCACCACCACGGCCGCCACCACCGCCGTCAGCACCACGGCAGCTGCAGAGAGGGCTCCGGCAGCCACCACAAAGCAGGAGTTGGGTACTGAGCTTTCCTTTTCCTCTAACCCCTCAGATCCTGCTGCCACCTTCCCCATGTCCCGCTCAGGGCCCGCTCAGTCCGGGCACAGGGCGGGTTTAAGGCATCCCACGCCCCGGGAGAGGCTTTGGGGGGCGTTTTGGGAATGGCGGGGCACCGAGTGGCTCCTGGTAATTTAGTGCCACCCCCCTGGTGTCACTCTCTGGGGGGACACAGAGCCCTCCCTGGGGCGTGGCGATGCTGGGCGAGCAGCAGTGTTTGGGAAGGAGGTGGCAAACCCCTGCAGAGCGTTATCCCCCGTCTCAGGGCCGCTAAAAAGGGGCTTCTGGGGCTGCTGGCAGAAGGTGTCACTTCAGATTTAGCTCATCAGCCGCTGGCTGAGAGACCTGTCAGCATTTATAGGAGTCTCTGGGTCGGTGCTTCTGCTCCCTGTGATGCCACAGCCCACAGGAGAGCTGGGCAGTGTGGGAGTTACAGCACAGGGAGTGCGAGCCAGGGATTTGCCAGGTTGGGATCGGCCTCCCGTGCAATCAGCTGGAACAGGGTGATCAGACTCTGCTTTGGGGGAGGCATATTCCCCACTGTGTGTCTTTTAGAGGTGTATCTCCCTGAGCCTTGTCTTTAAAGTACTGCTATGATGGTGTCTACAGTTAATAAATAGTTGTGGGTAGTTATATTCACTTAAAAAGGGAGTCAAGCCAGGAATGCAAACAAAAATCTAAAGGTTGGACAGGGCTTGGAGCAACCTGGGCTAGTGGAAGGTGTCCCTGCCCATGGCAAGGGGTGGAATGAGATGAACTTTAAGGTCTCTTCCAACCCAAAAACCGTTCTGGGATGATTCTGTTACTCAGTTCAGACCCCTTTCTTTATATTCTTGCATAAGATTAGCTCAGGGTGGTTAAAAAACCACCAAAAACCTTATGCTGGGAGGTCCTGCCTCCACCTGACACCCCAGTTTCAGTAACAAAGCAAGATCATCACCACCACAGTGTCCCTGTTAAGTGGGGAAACATTGCTAATTGAAAACAGATAATTAATGGTGAGGCACAGAGCGGGGGGAGGGGATGGGAAGAGGCTGAGCCCTGCTGTGGGGGCGGCAGCGCAGGGTGTGTGAGAGGGATTTTAGGTCACCCCAAAGCATCAGGTGCCCCGAAAGTCACAACAGGGACTGCAGTTATTTATCTGTATTCTGCCAAATGGAAACACGAGCTGCACCCTGAGTAATAACAACATCAGACCCCCCCAAAGGTGTAACTTAGCCCCCGTCCCTGACCCTCACTGAAGGGCAGGATTAGCTCCACCTCACCAGAGACCGAGTTCATCCGCTCTCCAAAGCAACGTCGGCAACCCTTAACTTCAACATCAGAAACGAGTGACTTCATTGCCCCACTGGCTGTCCCCAGGCCCAGTCAGGTGACAACCATCTCTCCCAGCTTCGGCTGCTGGTTGTGGCAGTGAGCCCGTGTGCATCCATGCAGGTGCCTCCCGCCTCCAGCCGGGGGAGAGTTTGGTCCCAGCTCCCCCACTCAGGGACTCTTCACACTCCAGAGATGAGCTGAGGGCAGCTGGACTCAAATAACCATTCACAGTGAGCTGCTGCTACCGAAATTCCCCCCCCCCCAAAAAAAAAAAAAAAAAGAGCTGAGAATCTTGAAAAGACAAGGCACACTCAGGCTGAGATCAAAGCACTGAGCTCAGGAATTATTCTGTGAGGGTTTTACCAGCACTAGGTGAGGCCTCCTTATACTCCAAAATACTAACAACAACTCCTGTTCTAACCTGTCCACCAGCCACCAATGGATCGTCCATATGGGACATAAGAGCTATGGCTAATAGTAACTGGGCAAACATCACCTGGAGCCACAATTACTCTGCAGGAACTGACTTTGTGGTTAAGTATATCACCAGTAAGCATCAGATCGCGTGGGGAATCTACAGGGTGGTGGTGCCATTAGAGATCCTGCCAGCTCCCACCTGATTCACTTACCTCAATTGCTGTGTGTGGAGGATGGGAGGGGAGAAGATCCTGGGCTGCTCAGGGAGGACCAGAGTGAATCCTGGTGGATCCCAGGGGATTCTCCCCCTCCTTGTTTGTGAGATGTAGATTGGGCAAGGCTGTGAACTGCGAGCTGGGCTGCGTGTGGTCAGCATAAAGAGCCTTAAAAACATCTCTAAACATGGAAATTGGAGAGCACTTCTGAACGCTTTTGGACACTGGCTTTTTGAACCTGGAGTTGGCAGAATCCTCTATGATCCCAAACCTCCCATCATATAGGATATCATTGTCTCTTAACACTGTAAGGCTCGTACTTAGTCTGGAAACTCAGTCTCTCTGGGCTTAGTTCTTGTTTAGAAGGATGCTGGCGTGTTGCTGGTTGGTTGGGGTTTTCCCTGACAGGCAGTGCTGGCTGCTTATCTCTGCCTTTGCTTCCCAGCCACCCCAGCCCTCCCAGCAGCTGCTGTGCCAGCCTGAAAGGGGCATTTAAAATACACCAGTTAGATCAGGAAACCACTTCTGGCCACTTAAAACATCCCTTAAGTGATGACCTCGAGTTCTCTTTGAAAGAACTCCCCACATGGAGCCAGTGCCTGGTCTGTCTCCACAGGGCTCCTGCAGGCCACCATTTCCATAAAAGTCAGGGTAACACCAGCTTGCCAAGCCCTAAATAATCCCATATCCCAGCTCCCAAACCACCCTCTGCCAGGCCTGTTTTCCCCCCATCACTGGGAGCCCCAAGCACAGGCATTGCCCTTCCAGTGCCCACATGCTGAACCTGGGCTGAGTCTGGGCTGCAGCAGCAGCAGCAGCAATCCCATGGGATGACCCTCATCAGGGAGGAAATCTTGGAGATTTCAGCCCTTCCTGGACAGTCAAGGCTCTCCACCCTTTTTTGGTGGCATTTGATGCAAGCAAACCCTCAAAGCCACGTTTCTCCTCCCCTGCAGCCCCTCCAGAGCCACAAAGCCAAGCCCCGCTGCAGGCTGGCTGGAATTCCATGGATAATGCCCCGAATTAAGCTCATCAGCAAATGATTCCCAGCACAATGACAAGAACGGGTTGTTCTTGGAAAGCACCAGGGAGCAACCAGCCCACGAGCAGCCCTTCTTGAGTCAGAGGGGCTGAACTCCTCCCTCAAAAGCACCAACGTGCCAGCTGGGGGGAGCAGTTCCAGTTTAACGCACTATCCAGCTCATCCTTAACCCCCCCCCAGCACACCTGGTGCACAGGTCCCACCCCCAACAGCACAGGAACCAGCTCCTTTACCAAGTCCTGTAGCACCTTCATCCAGCTGAGCACGACCAGGCAAATTTTACCTTTTATTTTTTACACTAAACCCCCAAACCCGAGGCTGGGCCAGGTAAAGACCCAGGTCTTAAAAGCAGGGAGAGATTTGAGTAGTATCCGGGTATTTTTTTTTTGTTTCTTGGCGTGGCGAGCCCCGCATTCCCGCATCCCTGATCCCCCTGGGTGATCCATCAGGGAGCATTCCCGCATCCCTGGTCCCCCTGGGTGAGCCACCAGGGAGCATTCCCGCATCCCTGGTCCCCCTGGGTGAGCCACCAGGGAGCATTCCCGCATCCCTGGTCCCCCTGGGTGAGCCACCAGGGAGCATTCCCGCATCCCTGGTCCCCCTGGGTGAGCCACCAGGGAGCCCCCTCGCAGCTCCCGGAGCGCGAGCAGGGGCGGCACGAAAAGCATCGCCCGCAGTGTCGGCACGGGGGATCGCGGAGCCTCCCGCGGCTGCCTTTGATGTGCGGTTTCTGTTTCTCAGGTAACAACACAGAGAGATCTATCCCTGTTAAAGCTCAGACCCCTTCCTCTGTGCAGCTGGCGGATCTGACGCCGGGGATGATGTACAAGCTGTGGGTGTTCCCCATATGGTCTAGCCCCAGCGAGCACTCGTACATAACCTTTACCACCAGCTCAGGTGAGATGGGCGGCAGCCCCGGCGCGTCCCAGGCATGTCCCACCCATCACGGCATTCCCGTGGCGGGAGGGGGTTGGACCGTGACTGCATGGAAAACCCGCATCCAACCCCCCCCCGCCGCCCCCAGCTCTGCCTCTGGGCAGGAGACAACCGGCAGGTTGCACCTTCCAGGAAGGGCTGGGGGTCCCCCCGTGAAGGAAAGGGGGTTGCAGGAGGGTGGAGAAGCTGCTCGTGGTGTCCCCGTGGCTCTGCTCGTGGTCCCCCCCGCCCGCCCCTCGGTGTTGTCTGCGCTCCCGCGGGGATGGGGCTTGCACGTGTCCGGTCCAGGCTGTGCCAGAGGGGCTGGAGGGGACGGATCCGTGACGGGATGCAGGACCGGGAGTGGGAACGTGGGGTCTGCACGGGTGGCATCCCCACAGGGCCTCCCAGCCCGCAGGGATGTGTCGTCTGGCCCCGGGGTCGTTGGCATCAGCGATTTTCCGGGCTCAGCGGTTTTCCAGCTCCCTGGCCGTGGGCTTCCCTCGCTGCCCACTCATCACCACACCCCTGTTGGCTCCCACAGGCACTTCAGGAGTTTGTGAATCCAAACAACCTCAAATCCCGTTGTATTCCTGGGTGGGGGATCTGCAGGGATCTGCCTGTCAGGGCACGGCTGGAAAAACCACGGAGCAGGGAAACACCTGAGCAGCCACCCCTGCCAGGGGCAGTGGGCTCTCAAAGTCACCTTTGAAAGGTGACTTTCAAGGAACTGAAATGACTGTGCTCAGATCCAGCTGAGTGATGGAGAACTCACTGGGCTCTGCTGGGAAGTGCAAAAGGAGAATGGGGTTCCCATCGAGGTAGAGCTGGCAGAGGGAGGGGGAGCAGCTCCCCACACTCCCCTCCCAGTCACATCCTATTTGGTGTCCAAAAATTTGGCAAGCCTTAACTCCCCTGAGCGACCCCCCCTGACGTGCTGAGAGGACTCAGGGACAGATGACACTGCTGGTGTTCCATGGAACTGTTAAGGCTGGAAGAGACCTCAAAGATCATCGAGTCTGACCATTAACCCAGCACTGCCAAGGCCACCACTGATCCTTGTCCCCAGGTGCCACATCTACATGTGTTTTGCATGTCAGATGCTGCCCAGAAACACCCAGTGAGTGCTGGCCTTGGCTCTGCCCTGCCCTGAGCTCTGATGTGCCTCCCCAGACTGCTCCACTGCCTCGGGATGGGATCACACCCAGGGCACAGCAGCCACTGGAACGTTCTGCCCCCAGACCTTAGAGCTGATTTTTCTGCTCAGACTCTCCCCAGCACAGCTCCAGCTGCTGTGGAACATCCCCAGTTTTGTTTCCCCTGATTCTGAAATCCCTTCCAGTTCCACAGCCCCCACCCCACCATGAGACTTATCCCTCTGGACAACTATTCCCAACCTGGACCCGCCTCGTTTCTGTTCTCCCCTGCTCCTCACCCACTTTGGGATCTGTGGGGGGAGTGAGGGGCCAGCCAGGGGCTGGGAATCATTAAAAAAAAAGGGGGGGAAAAAAAGCAATATCCTTGGCTGATTCCCGCTGGGAGACTCTGCATATATTTTCCATAATTGAGAGGTTCCGACTGCTATTTTCCTGGAGACTAAAGGATGGGGGCCACCTTTATCCCTGTGCTAGAGGCTGGTGGTGACCTGAGCCCTGGCACTGTGGGATGTGCATGAATAAATGCACATCCATTTCTCTGCTGGCTGGATCTGCTGACACAAGTGCTCGGCCCCCGCTGACAATCATATGCCATCAGGAATGCTTTGGACAAAAAAAGCACTGTTCTTTTTTTTTTTTTTTTTTTTTGGGGGGGGGGGGGGGGATAGGGTGGGGGGATGGTTTTTCTGTATTTTGCAAATAGCTGTTCTGAAGGTTTCTTGAGTTTGAGGGCAGAGGAAGAAGAAATGTCCCACCTGCACTGTGGCTGCAGGACACGGCCCTCTGACTCTGATTAACTCAGTGAGCCACCAGAGCCCCTCCCAGCAGCAAAGGACACTTTGAAAGAGCAGAAAGAGCTCGATATAAGGAGGTTTTCTACATTTGAAATCAATAAGTTCCTCAGCCTGGACAAACATTGTGTCCAGAGGAGGGAAAGGAGCTGGGAAGGGTCTGGAGCACCAGGAGAGCTGAGGGAGCTGGGGGGGCTCAGCCTGGAGAAAAGGAGGCTCAGGGGGGACCTTCTGGCTCTGCAATCCCTGACAGGAGGGGGGAGCTGGGGGGATTTTGGGCTCTGCTCCCAGGGAACAGGGACAGGAGGAGAGGGAACGGCCTCAGGCTGTGCCAGGGGAGGGGCAGGTTGGACATCAGCAGGAATTTCTTGCTGGTCAGGGATTGGAAGGGGCTGCCCAGAGAGGTTTGGAGTCCCCATCCCTGGAGGTGTCCAAGGAAGGCCTGGCCATGGCACTGAGTGCTCTGGGCTGGGGACAAGGTGGGGATGGGGCACAGGGGGGACTCAGAGATCCTGGAGGGCTTTTCCAACCTCAGTGACTCTGGGATTCTGGGAAGAGGATCACTCGAGGCTGGAGGTGGTGGGACTTCCCATTCCCAGTGTTCTCCTTTCCAACTGAAGACAAAGCCTTTGCTGCTGTTCTGCTGGGGGAGGGCACAGTTTTGCCCCTGGCACAGAAATGAGGACTCTTGGGTGACGTGTTTGCTGCCACCAGATTATAATGAATTTTTTTCTTTCAAAAAAAAAAAAAAGGCTCTGCAGTGGCATTTCCAATCAGGACCTGTGGGATTACACAGCTGCTTTCCCCTCTTTCCCCTTGATCTTGGCCTTCCACTAAAGCAAATCCCAGCAGCCCTGTGACAGTCTCCCCCCTCCCAACGCTGCAATGACAGTCACTCGTTCAGCTCCAAGCACACATTGCTGTGACTCTGATTCGGCCCTCACGTGTTGCTTTTTTGGGAAGGATGGCAGTGACACCCCTACTTTGGTGACAGGCAGTGCCACCACCCCCTGCTGCAGTATCTCCCTCCCTTGTAAAACTCAGCTCCAGCCCTCCAACCCACCTCTCAGGCTCCTCTGGCACTTGATACTTGGAAGACCCCCTTGTTCCTGGCTGTAAAAGCCCCACCCCATGGCTGTTGATGCAATCTTTGTCCATCTCAGAGCTTGCCAGGAAAGGTTCTTTCCCTTCCCCTTCCCTCCCCGAGCACTCAGCTAATTGAATCCAGTTCTCAGCTCCTCTCTGTCATAACCTCATTCTCTCCTGTTAAAAGCACATCCTCGAGGACCTTGTGGAGCTCAGGCTGTGCTGAAGGTAAACGTGGAATTTGGCAGCATTAGGGGGGAAAAAGCAGCCAGAGCAGCCAGGGCACCATCAGGCAGCTCCTTCCACCTTGGGTGAGCCCAGGAGGTCGGTGCTGCTCACACGCACAGAATGTTCAGGGCTTGACATCACTTCTCTACCATTTTCCTTCTTGTCATTCTCTTTTTTTGGCTGAATTTCCCTGCCTGAAATTCCCTCTGTGGCTGAGATTTCATCCCGAGGAAGGAACTTCTTCCCCTGGGTTCCGTTCCCATGGAACAAGCACAACTTAAGCCCTGCAATGATCTGGGTTAGGGAAGTTCACCCCCTCCACCCATTTTTCCAGGTGCTGTCTCTCCCACAGGAGCCTTCCATCGAGAACACATCCAGGGAGAGGGCTCTTTCGTGCTTTCCTTACACCATCTTCCTTCTTGTCAGATTGTCGGGACAAAGGGCTGCCCCCTGCCCGTCTCAGTGCCCAGCTGGATGCCAGGCAGCCCAGCCCTCCCCCCAGGAACACCTCTGTGTGCTCCTGGTTAAATTTAGCCCCCACTCCTGCTGCGCTGAAGGTTATTTTCTCCTCTGCTCTGTCTTGCTGAATACCAAGTGCATGTCAATGAGAGCCAGAAAATGGCAGCGTGGAGCTATTTATAGGACACAGATTTGTCTGTCTGACCGTGCAGGAGAGCTGCAAACAAGGAGCCAGGGAACGTCAGGGAGGACACAGCAGTCAGGAGCTGTTTGGGGCTCAGGACACCTCCCTGCTCGGGATTAATCCCATCAATAGTCATGAGCCTCCTGAGGGTGCTGGAAGCATTGACAGAAAGGGTTTGCCCCGGGGAGGAAACACCTTCCTGTGCCATCAAACCACCTCTCAACTCCCTGGGACCCAGATGTCGTTCCTCAAAGCTGTTCCCAACTGCTGCATCCCCCCGTCCTGCCCCAGCCAGGTCTTGGTGGGCTTCCACAAGTCCCCTGCGAGCCCTGGGGGACCCTCTGTGGCCACCCAAGGGTGGCAGAGCCGCTGCCCACCCCCCTCTTCAGTGCAGGACTCCAGTTTATCCCTCAGGGCTCAGCGACCCCCTGGGCCAGTGGTGCTGCATCAGACACCAGGTGTGGATCCTCTTGAACTGAGAAGACTTTCTCCCTTCCCAGGGCCATCTCCAGACCCATCAGACAACAGATCAAATCTGTCACCCAGCTGCTTCTTGTGAAGTCCCTTTCCCCCCTGCTCTGTGCCAGCTTCCACTTTATGCTGTGCCTCTTTGCCCCTTGTAGCTCCTGGTGAAATGCTGAGTGGACCAACCAGCATGAAATGGAAAAAAACCAAACCAAAACAAAACAAAAACCAGCCCCCTCAGATGTTGTGCTACAGCCTCAGGTCACCCAGAGACACCCAAAGGCAGCGCCACAGGGATCCCCCAAACCCCTGACCTGTCCTGCTCTTCAGCTCTTCCCTCCATTCTCCTGCTCTGGCCCTCACAGCTGTTTTGTTGTCTCGTTCTCTCCCCCTCTCCAGCCTACACCAAGAACCAGGTGGACATCGCCACGCAGGGCTGGTTCATCGGGCTCATGTGTGCCATCGCCCTGCTCGTGCTCATCCTGCTCATCGTCTGCTTCATCAAGAGGAGCAGGGGGGGCAAATACCCAGGTGAGGCCATGGCTGCTGCTGGCCCAAACATCTGCACGCTCCTGGGGTGGGGAGGGCTGAGTTGTGTGGCTCTGGGATAGCTGGGATCACTGGAATCGCTGGGATCACTGGAATCGCTGGGATCACTTCCTCTGCTGTTGGTGGGATGAGTTTCAGCTGGTTAAAGGCTGGGCCAGGGCTCTGTGCAGGCTTAGTTAGAGCTGGGCTCTCCTGCTGTGTGTGCACAGCCCCTGCCCTGCACATCCTCCCTGTCCTCAGTGAGGAAAAGAGCTTCTCAGGCAAAAATCTCGTCACATTTTTGCAAAGCAAAGAGAGGGAATCCTAAAATTAATGCACCCTGCCTGCAGGGCTTGTGGTGCCACACAGCAGCACCCTTTGAGAACCCTTTGAGAACCCTTTGCAAGCCCTCCCAGGTGCAGGTTTTTTACCTGTCCATGAGCAGCCACCCTTCAACCCCCCCAGGGGTGTCCCAGCCCCCCCCCCAGCTGCCTCATAAAGCTTTGATTTCCTGCACTGATTTTAACCTGAGTGGTGGGGGCTCTGCTTGTTTCCAGTCCGAGACAATAAAGATGAGCATCTAAATCCCGAGGACAAGAACGTGGAAGATGGATCCTTTGACTACAGGTACGTTTCCATGGCATGTGGACAACCCCCCCACCCCCCGCCCCCCCCATCAGCCCCTGCCCCAGCCATCACAGCCCTCACCGCGCTCTCCTCCCGTAACTGCAGCCCCCCCGGGGCCACTCAGCCTCTGAAATGATTCCTCCCACCTTCCTCCTCCTGCCTCCTTCCCTCTGAGAGTCCTCTGCCAAAGGAAGCACTTCCTGAGGGACCAGGTTGGGAGGATGCTGCTCAGGTCTCCTCCTTCCCCCTGGCGTGATCAGCCCAGGGTAGAGCTGGGATTTGGCATCAGCTGCACGGGACAGCTCTCAGCAGGAGCAGACCAACCTTGATGACACTCCTAACACAGGAAACCCCCCCCAAAAAAAAACCAAAAAACCCCAAACTTTGTATCAGCCCGAGGGTATTTCTGGAGCATCACCCTGTAGCTCAGCCTCTCTCCTGCCCAAAGGGAGTGTCCAGGGGAGAAATGCCCAAATTTTGCTTGGATCAGCCCTGAAAGCACACAGGAACTCTGATGTGGGGGTCTGCCTGCATCCCAAACAAGGAATTTTCTGTGAGGTCCCCAGGTAACCCCACCAAAACCCCCTTGGAGGGCTCTGGTCCAGCCCAGCAGGGGTTCAGCCGAAACCTCTCCGACTTCCCCGGGCTCCACTCCACTGCTTGCACGCAAATGTCACCCTTTAAAGAGCAGCAGAGCCCTTTTCCACCCCAGGAAAACTCCCAGGATGTGTCAGGAAGGGACAGGCATGTTCCCAGGCATTCCCAGCCCTGCTGCTCTCCGTGGCCGCCCCCGGGAGCGGGAGCAGGTCCTGCTGTCAGGTCTCATCGTGTTGCCCACCCCTGACAGGTGAAGGGATGTTTTCCAGCACCTCCACTGGGCTGGGCTCGGCTTTACAGAACCAAAATGCACTTTTTCCCCGTCTGAGCTGGATCCAAAGCCCAGTCAGGCCAGCAGGATTTTTTTTCTCCTGACTTAAAGCAGGGGTGAACTCCACCCCGATGCTCCCAGCGCTGTTACAAAGCGAGGGAGCAAAGATGGGGGGAATTTAGCTGGGATTCAGTAAGGGGTGGAAGAAGACACACGTGTTCTGCCAGAGACTTTAGAGGCAGCAAACCCAGTGTGCCTGCACACAGCAGTCAATGGAAGCAGAACAAGTGCAGCCTCCCCCAGATCACGGCTGGGCTGTCGCTGGCACAGAAACTCCATTTCAGCAGCGATTCCTCCTCTCCCAAGGATGTCATTAAAGCCCAAAGCTCCCCAGTCCTCTGAGAGCACAATACAGAATACAAATACACCCAGCAGGGCCCAGAGGAAGCAGCATGTCCTAGGGAAAGGCTGATGTTCTTCACTGCCCTGAACAACACCCGGGGACAACAACACCTTCCTCATCGTGCCAGGAATGCTGCTCAGCACTTGGAGGGGTGGCAATAAATCCACACAGAGAGTCCTGGGCATGTTCCCTTCAGATTCCTGGCTGAGAACAGCAGAGGAGACACAGCTCAGCCTGGTCCTGGTGCAGGTTTTGCCCCGGATCAATCATCCCTTCCCAGGCATGATTTCACCGGTGCTGCTGGTGCAGAGCCATGACCCCAACCCCCAGCTCGTGTCCAGAACAAGTCCCCCTGATGATTTCAGTCTGACAGGGAGCCTCTTGCTTCCCAGGTTTGAGGGATGGTGTCAATCCCACGTAGGAAGCCTCAAACCCCTCATCCCCCCAGAGGTTTTCCCCCCACCACATTCCTCGGGCTCAGCTCATCCCCTGGAGCTCAGCCCAGGCCCCCCAGCCGAGCTTCTGGCAGTACCCCCTCATTCCATGGCTCTGCTTCTCAAGAGGCCACCAGGGTGGTCCCAGCTGAGGCCTCCTGGCCCCCATCCCTCTTCTCCTGAGGCAAATCCATTGCCAGGGGCCATGGATGCCAGAGAAGGACACCCAAGCTCTTGGCATGGCTGGCAGCAGTGCTGCACTTGCTGCCCCAGCACCATCCAAGGGGCATGGACTTCCAGGCAAGGGGAAGGAATGGGGTAAATCCTTCACCCTCCTGCTTTTAGCTGAGGCTCCATCTTCGACTGACAGCCCCATTCCCAAAAGTTTGCAGGCTACAGGCACAGTAGGAGGACAACAAGCAAGGTCCAAGATGCTCCCACATTTTCAATCTCATTGTCCTGTGGACTGAACATGGGGGGGGGGGGGGGGGGGAAAAACCCCAATCAAAGAACAACCAGAAAACCCCAACAACCCATAAACTTCGCCCCCTCCTCAGGAACAACAGGTTTCCTGGGAGAGAAGTAATAGGAGGCTTCCCCTCAAGGAGGCAGAAAGGAAGGTGAAGCTGAAGGATTGCTGCGAAATGCTGGTGGCTGATTAAGATTGGAAATGATTGTGATGTTGGGCTCAAGGAGGGGAGCAATTAGTATTTCAGGCAAGGACAGGAATTGAGCTGACGTGAGTCCTTCAGTGGCTCCCCTCCCCACCTCCACATGGCATGTCTGATGTGCTCTCATCACACCTCACGTCCTTAATGCCCCGTGCATGCGACTTTCGGATCTCTGCAGCCCGTAATTAAGAGACACTGTCACATCTTTCTGTCCCACGAACAGAATAATGGTTTTCCTGAGCAGAGGCTAAGCTGGGAAGCTTCTTTTCCAAGCAGGAGACCATTATCCTTGGACAATGTTCTGTGCCGGTGGCTGTGCCTCATTATACCAAACGCTCAGCGCTGCACGTGGGGAAACCCGGGATGCTGGGAAGGGCAAGTGGAGCGGTTTCAGCTGCTGGATTCCAGCTGAGCTTCAGGGCAGTCCCCTGGCAGAGGTGCCACACCGCAGGCAGCGCCAGCTTGCCAGGATGGGCCACCCCAGCAAGGCAGGAGGACACAGGACCGTCCTTGGTGCAGGTCTGGCAGCAGGTGACACCACCCGGGCCGTGTCACAGAGATCCAGCAGAAGGCTGGAGGGAAACCCAAGCCACCCTTCCCCTTGGCCCTTGTCCTGCTGCATGTCTGTCCCCAGAGCCACAACCCTCCCCTGCAGCTGCTCCCTGGTGGCCTCCAAGCACAGCCCTTGGTGGCCATCCCAGGGAGGCTCACCCAGCTCCCAGCAGCTGTCCCAGCTGTGTTTGGTATAACGAGGCACTCAAGGCCCCACCCTGAGGAACGCGGGCGTTTCCTTTTTGGTTTTTTTTTTAGCACTGCCCCCTGTAAATGCAGAGCTCATCATATCTCTCTCTCTGATCAGGCTCTTTCTGCTTCTCTCTGTTTTATTCCCATTCTTTCTTCTCCTTTTCACCTGGTCTATCCACATGGACCATGAAGGTCTCTTGAAAGGTAGGACCACGTGCTGCCAGAAGTCCGGCACATTTAGCTTTTTTTTTTTTACTTTATTTTATTTTATTTTTAATTTATTTTCCTTCCTTCTACCCACTGATTTCTTGACAGCCAAAACAACCTCCCTCCCCCCTCCCCCTGTTCCCGTGTTCCTGCCTCACCTAACACATTAAACAAGACCCCTCTAACTCCTGCTGGCACTGGGGGTACCCCCACATCCAGCAGGTTGCCTGGAAATGCTCAGTGGGCTGGGGGTACCCCCAGGAGCCAGCCAGGCCCCCCCCTTCCCCCAGCTCGAGCTGCTGATCCCTCCTGGTGTAGCAGGGTTGGACCTGGGAGCGATGCCCTCGGTGCCCTCAGCACCCAGGGCATGGGGACAAGGGACACGAGCCCGAAGCGCTGGATCCTGAGACGCTCTTCGTCTCAGCCCTGAAAAACCCTCCCTGTGGCTCAAGCCTCCCCCTCTTCCCGAGGATTTATGGCCCTCAGGACAACGTCTCCCAGATGGTTTCCGTCTGGTTCTCTAATGCACACCGGGCAGAGCCTGGGAAATCCATTTGTTGGGGTTGTGTTACATCGAGGGGCTGATGGATCTCTGCTGCACCCTCCTAATGCACTAACGGGAGAAACGGTCCTGGAGAGAGGTAAAAACCAGGAAATGCATTGAGGGCAAAAATCTGGCTCTGGGTCGAGCTTCACCTGCCCCCCAAACCTTGGGAAAGGATCCTGCAAAGAGAGGGATCTGGGTTTTGCCACTCTCTACTCGGCGTTTTTTGGGGCTTTCTAACCTTCAGTCCCGCTTGCAGACTGAACTCTTCCTCTCCCACCACCAACCCCTCACCCCCCACCCCCCAAAAAAAAAGCTGCTTTCAGAGCTAACAAGTTATTTCCCGTTGTGATGCCAAGTTAACACGAGGTCTCCAGTCTTGGGTTTGTGTTACTGTTTCATTCCCAAAGTGCTGATCCCAGGAAACCCCGGGGGAAAAGCCGCCTGTTGTGCCGTGGGACACCAAATTCCTCTCCCACTGCGGAGCTGATGCCATTAATTAGGTGGAATGAGGGAGAATTAATGCCTTCCCCAGCTGAAGAGCAGTTTGCTCCCTGGTCCAAGCAAAGTGCAAAGTTAAAAAAAAAAAAGCCCAGTAGTTTTACCAGTTTTAAGGAAAATAAAGGAGCAGAGCAGTGAGTGAGCGAGTCTGACAGGCCCCAAGCCAAAACAACAGCGAAAAAACAGGAATGGAGATGGGAGCACAAATATTTAAGTGATATCTTCCACAATACAACAGAATTTGCAAGCTGGACGTGAGATCAAACATGAACTAAGGGCTAGTTGATATGAAAATTAATTTTATATATATATATGTATATATATATAATCCACTCTCATCCTCCACAAAATATCACTTCTATGTATGAGATCCCAGCCCTTCCCCTCCAGAGAGAAAACAGGTTTTCCCTCTTTAGGTTTTTTTTTGTTGTTATAAAAGGCTTTCTTTAAAGTGGTGTTTTTTTTCCTGTGGGTCAAACTCTTTATTTTTCAGTGACCTGGCTGAATCATTCTAGTGGGGGGGAAAAAAAAAAAGGAGAAAAGCATAAAGAACTGAGCGAAGGAGCTCAGAAATAAGCTCAGAAAGGTAAAATTCCCACGAGTTTTGGAAGCTGCACAGAACTTGGCATCCTATACGTGCCCCCTTGCAGTGCTTGGAGTGCCTCCCATTGCATGTAACTCTCTAAAGGGGG